TTTAGGAAAAATCTTACTTTTTCAACTGGAGAAACCACTTTTTGTTTCTAGGAAAAGTCATTATAGATATATGTCATCTTTCTGCTTTCACTTTCAAACTTAGCTATAACTTGGATTAAGAAGCTAGTTTAAGAAAATCAATAACATCTATTTAGTAAGTAACCACTTTAAAATGTGATTTAATAAAAGTACTTCTCATTAAAGGAAATTGACAAACCATTACTTTTAACTCTATAACATTTGCCAGTATTCGATGATTTTTTTTTTCTTACAAAAATGAATTTTATATGATTCTGCCAAATAGGCTGACTCTTGGTGAAGTTATGTTTTGGGCGAAATGTGTCTTCAGAATCTTCCAAGTCCATGAGGGCACCCAAGAACTTGATCCCTGTACTTCTGCTGAATTCATGAGCAGTTGAAATTTTTAATTTTTATATTGTGATCATGTGCCATTGACAAAAAAGTGACAGTTATTAGGTTGACAACTTCCTTTTATTAGCCTATTGGTTATTTGAATGTCAACAGGAGAGTTAAAGCTTTAACTAAAAGGTGCATACGTCTAATATCTGTAGTTAAAGACACTAATGTGAAGACAAGAGTCAGTCTTTCATAAGTTTAGAGTCACCATTATATGTTATTTTATACAAACCCTTTATTTTAAAAATGAGAATATGAAAGGTAGAAACTCACTGAAAAACAAGACAAGCTGCCCTTCTGGTGTCTGATGGGCAAGTTTCCTTGCCATGATGCTCTACCTTATTCCACAGAGCCCTGTTATTGGCTCGTTCACTTGAACTCAGTACTCAGCCTCTGTTCTAAAGGAGGAATGAGGAAGAGACAGAGCCAGGTTTTCCTGAATCTACATTACCATTTTCCTTTGGTAAATGCTGGTAAAACCAAACTCAAATTATAACCTTTTCTACCATACTTCTAGAAATGTTATAAAACATGTTTTAAATGTGTTTGTACGTAAATGTGCTGTAGAATCGAAAAGGACCTTTCAGTGCACATGAACTGGGAGCAATCCCTGGAAGGCAGAAATCAGGTAAACTCAGAGGAGTAACACACTGTAGTGCTACATGGGCCTGGAGAAGACCACTTACACTCTGCCAGATTCTTGCTATCTTCTGCTCAGAATCTGTCTCTCCATGTTTGAGGTCTTTCCCCTATCCCCCATCTTATCCCATACAGCTTTGTAACACTTTTCTCTTCATTCTCATTCACTGAGAAATGTTCAAAGGTTTTTTTTTTCTTAATTATTCTCCCCAATGCAAGTTTAGTACCAAGGATGCACTGTGTTTTACTGTGAATACATCTATGCTCTTCATACATAAAAATACTGCCCCTACTTGAGAATGCATGTCTCATATCAGAAGGATTCTTGTGATTCTTTCTGGAGCTAATTGGAGGCTCTCTCCCTCTTCTCAGAATCACAGGTGACACATTCAAGAGCGTCATTATGAACTGTCTACTCTTCATCTTACTTCTTTTTCGGGAATCCCTGAGATCAGCTTTGCAGAGAAAACTATTTGTGAATGGTCTGTAGAATTTGCTGTCCACATGTTGAGAAATTGTTGTGATAGGCAGTAATCTAAGAGCTATAGTTGTCTTTCTTCCTTGGCATTCCCACCTTGAGGAACATCATCCTTGTCCTTGAGGGTTGACTGGACTAAAGAACTGGTTTGTAACACAATTCGGAAGGACTGGTGGAATGTTATTTCCAAAATTAACTTAAAAAAAATTGCAGCATTCATCTTGGTTCTACTTTTTCCCCTTCCCAAATCCTCCAGCTTTCCTTCTTTGCCCCCGTTTTTGCCATTCATCCTTTTTTCTTGATGTTTGTTGAATCACACTGTTTCAGGCAAGCCAGCTGTCATGCTTATGAAAAGTACCATAAAAATGCCCCCACAGTGTATAACTGAAGTATCCAACCAATAACCCCATGTGTAAGTGCTGAATTGTACTTCTGTTTCAGTTTTGCCTTAATGACTATCCTGCAAGGTGCCTTTACTGTAGCCTCATGAAAGACTCTGAGCTAGAACCAGCCGATTAAATTTCTTCAAGAACCCTTCATACACAGGAAATGAGACCTGATACATGTTTGTTCCTTAAAGTTCCTGATATTTGGGATAATTTGTTGTAAGCAGTAGATCTCTGATATAGTCAGATTTATTTCTATGTCCTTTTTCTTCCTCCAGGATTATTCATTATAATTTGTTGGTTTATCTGCATATTATATATCAGTTAGCAGTTTATTTTTGACAGACATTAAAAATAGCACTAAATGCCTTAGCAAGTAAAAATACTACCATATCAGATTAGAATTTAGTTTATCAAGAGATAGAATTATGGTACAGCAGTTTAAGCCTCTACCTGTGACTCCAGGATCCCACATGGTAGCAGGTTCAATTCTCAGCTGTTCTGCCTCTGATTGGACTCCCTGCTTCTGCTGCTGATAAAGCAGTGGAAGATGGTCCAAATATTTGAGCCCCTGACACCGATGTTGGAGAGCTGGATGGAATTCTAGATTCCTGGTTTTGGCCTGGTTCTCCTGGCTATTACAGCTATTTGGGGAGTGCATCCAGTACATGGAAGAGCTTTCCACCCCCTCTTCTCTCTCTTCCTTACCCCCCTCCTTCTCTATCTCTCTCAAAATAAGTAGAACAAATCTTTAGAAGAAAAGAATTTGTTTTCTTGTATTTTGAATATCAGAACAATGACAGAGTTGATGAAATAAAATGTGGCTATTTCAACTAGAAAGAAGTGCTAGACTTTATAACCCCTGTTAACATCATTTTAGAATTTTTGTACCAAAAAAAAAAAAGAAATTTTGATCTATATAAACAGACTGCATGAATTCTCTCAAAACCTCAGATTTTATCATCAAGGTAGGTGTAGTTATCTGGTGGTTAAGATACCCATTGTGATGCCCAAGTGCCATATTGAAGTGCTGGAGTTCAAATCTTAGCTCTGCTTCTGGTACCAGCGTACTGCTAATGCACATATTGGGAGGCAGCAGGTGGTGGCTCAAGTGGTTGAGCCCCTGCCGTCAGCATAGTAGGCCTAGATTGAATTTCCAGCTTTCATTTTCAGTGTGGTCCAGCCCAACCCTAGCCGTTAGAATCCATTGGAGAATAACCCAATAGATAAGAATGGTCTCCCTCTTCCCCTTTCTCTACACCTATCAAATAAATAAATAGGCAAAGGTTGTCATTATTTTGAGTAATCAAGGGAATTTATAACCTTTGCATATGTGAAGGTACTTAAAAAGCTTCATGGAAAGTGCAGTTAAAACAAGATTTTTTGCAATTTGAAATTCATGCTGAGTTTTGGATAATATGCACATTTTCCATGAACTTTTAGGGAGTCATCATAGAAAGAGTTGACTGACAAAAATACAACATAAAAATAATACAAGGGAAATGTTCATCAATTTACAAATCAATTTTTTTTCTAAAACTCTAGTACTACTTTAACCTGCAAGTAATTGGAAAATTACATAAATGGTTCTGTCTCTTCATCCAAATGGGACCATTGAGTGTTATATGGTTCTATTTCTGTCCAGCTAATATCATTTCATGCCTTTTACTTTCCAGTTTGATTGATTCATTCATTCATCAAATATCAAAAAAAAACATAATGACTTTCTTTTTTTAACCCTTATTTTAATTAATGTATTTTATTAATCCAGAATAGTCTTTCTTTCCAGTAACTAAGTTAGTGAATTCTTTCTGAGTCTGTTATTTAATATCTTTTCATTTTGGGCCTGGTGGTTTGATTGATGCTTGCAGAATATGCCTTCCTTTACAAAAATATGTAGCCAAAATATTCTCTGATAATAAGAAATCTACAGAATACAGTTCTCCAGAGATTTTGACTGATTGGATCATATTATGAAGAAAATGTTTTGTATAGCAGGAGTATGAAGAATGACTCATTTATAATCTGATTTAGGAATCCACGTGGCAAAGATATTCACAACTGTAGCACAGCGAGCAGATCTGCTGTTGGTGTGGGAGGCCCAGGTGTGGATTTCGAGGTCAGATAGAATGTTTTCTTTATAACTGGAAGCCAGAACAATCCAAGGACCAAGGATTTTAATATCTTATAGCCCTGGCCCAGAAATTGAGCAAGCTATCCAAACATTTCCAGCCTCAGTTTTTTCATCTTGAGAATGGAAGGAAATAATACCTCTTTTATACAATGTTAAAACATCAGTGAAATTAACGAAGTAGCAATTCTTAGCCTACATTGTTAAGTGGATGGTGAACTTGAACTCTGCTTCTAATAGAAGGCTGATCAGGTAGAAAACACTGGGAAAAAAGGAACCTTTCTTTAATTTCTCCCTTTGCTCACATAGGTAATAAAGTGGCCAAGTATTTGCTCATATGGCCCAATTTAATTATGGTTTTATATTCTGAAAATGATACTCAACTCAATCCCACAAACCATAGAACATCTGAAAACGAGTAAGTTTCACTTGGAAGCCCATTCAAACACCAATGTTTTGTTTTGCTTTGTTTCGTTTTGTTTTGCTTTGTTTTTCAAGACAGAGATGGAGACAAGCTAAAAATATTCATTCAACTCTTTTCTTCCTATCAATTTAGTTTTCTAAATCTAACTGCCTGATAGGACCAAATGCCTATTAAGAAAGTTAAGATTAAAACATTGATTTACTAGTATTTTTCCATTAATGTGTTCTGATCATTATTACTGCAATTGATCTAAATATTTCACTGTATTTTTACATGTAACTTCTAAAAACATTCTTCATTAGTTGATTGCCTCATTATTCCAGAAGCAAGTACATTTAGGACCATCCTAACTGTCGCAACAAAGCACATAGACGATTTTCTGTATGTATAGTCTTTTTTTCATTTGTTTTTTAAGCAAAATTTATTTATTTATCTGAAAAGCAGAGTGACAGAACGATAGATCTTCTGGCTACTAGGTCTCTCTTTAAATGGCCACAGAGCCTGGAATTCTATCCACATCCACCATGTGGCTGACAGAGACCCAAGTATTTGCAAGTCATCCTTGTGCAGGGGCCATGCTAATCTTCTCTGTATCATTCCAATTTTAGTGTATGTGCTGCTAAAGCAAGCACAGAGACCTAAGTATTTGAATAATTTTCTGTAGACCAAGTGGGCTACTTTCCCAGAGCCTTAGCAGGCAGCTGGTTCACAAGCAGAGCAGCTGAAACTCCACCCAGCAATCCGATATAGGATGCTGGTGTTGTGAACAGTGGCGTTACCCACTTATCCATGGTGGGCAGGATTGGGATGGGCTCCAACACCCATTGGTTTATGTAGAAAATGAGGCTGGAGGCAGAACTGACCCAGCAATTGCAACCACCAGAATATGCATAGGCTGATAGGGATGACAGACTGTGCCAGGCCCTGTACTGGCAAGTACACCCAAGAATCTGGTCTGGGATCACTGAAGCTGAAAAGTTTTCCTTGGGGATTCCCCCCAATCGTACTGCCAGACTCAGAACCCCAACATGAAGAGAATTGCAGGTTCCATGGTCTGACAATGGAGTGCAAGTGTCAAATCTGAGCCGCCTCAGAGGCTCAGACAGAACAGTGGACAGCATATCCAGGTGCGCACGGAAGATATGGCAGTACATTGGAGCCTGCAGAGGACACCAGATACCACAACAGAGGACAGAACAAATTGATCAGCTAGCCCAGCCAAGTGTTGGTAGTGAAAATCTGGAGACACTAAGGTGGACTATGTCAGCAAGTAGATTCTGAAGAAATTTCATCATGCTTGGAATGGCAATTCAGAACTGTTGAACTATCGAAACCACTTGATCAGTGCCCTAGGAGCATGCCCCACATCGGGGACCCTGAGATGGTTGGGAGGGTGGATGTAGCTTCTTCCTTTGTCTTTCCCTTTCCCCAGATACAGGAAGGAAAAAAGAAAATGCGGAAACAATGGTCTTACCCACTTTGCTGTAGCCCTTGACCCATTGTGCCGTAATAAACTATGTAAAGATTATCAAAATAAAAATATATATAAAGCAAAAAAGGAAGTTCCAAATTTGTAATTATCTCCAGCCTTGGAGTTATTTAAATGTGGAAATTGGAGTTTGTGGCTAGGGTAATAGAACAGTAGAAAACTTGGTTTCCAGCTGTTCCATTACCTCATCTAGATATCTGCTCAGGACAGAATTAGGGAATTTTAGCTCTGTAAATTTTGGAATTGTTTTTATTATCTATTATATAGCTCATTGCTGGTGCTGCTATTCATGAGGCAGAAAGACAGAGAAATGGAGGTCGACATAAAGAAATATTGCGTCTTTTGATTCTCTCCCCAAATACCAGCAAAGTCCAGGGCTGGGCTTACCTGGAGCCAGGAGCCAGGAGCCAGGAATGAACTTAGATCTTGGGGTGGGTGCCAAGGACTTCAGTCCTCACATGTTGTCTCCTGGTATCTACACTGATAATAAAAACTCGTAATTGGAAGACAACACTGACTCAGATACTCTAATATGGTGTGCAGGTATCTTAACAACTAGACCAAAAGTCTGCCTGTCTGCCCAGTTCTTCACCTGTGAATATTAAACACCCACAGAATCTCATGAAGATATGTTCTGTTTTTACAACTCCTTTTAAGCAGTGAAGAAAGTTGAGCCTCTGGTATTCCAGCCAACTTGCCCAAGATCCTCTAGGCAACCATAAACCCTAGACTGAGTGACTGAGTGTGGGGCAGTGGTTCATTTTTATTGGAAAGGCAAATTTACAAAGACAAGGAGAGACAGAGAAAGGTCTTCCATTGGCTGATCCACTCCCCAAGTAGCCTCAGTGGCTGGAGCTGAGCCAATCGAAAGCTAGGAGCCAGAAGTTTCCTCAGGTTCTCCCACATGGGTACAGGGTTCCAAGGCTTTGGCCCATCTTCTACTGCTTTCCCAGGCCACAAGCAGAGAGGTGGAAGGGAAGTGTAGCAGCCAAGACAGAAACTGGTGCCCATAAGGGATTCTGACACATGCAAGGCAAGATTTTAGCCACTAGGCTGTCACGTCAGGCCTGGAGCAGTGGTTCTTAACAAAGAAGGATTTTTCTCCCCTTTCCCAGGGATATATAACCCAGCAAGACATTCTGGTAGATACTGTGGTGACTCATAGTGCTACTGATATCCTTAACAGGTACATGAACAGCCTCCCATAAGAGACAGTTATCGAAGAATGAAGATGGCGAAATAGGGTAAGGACCTAATCAGTATGAAGCAGAGAGGACATATTTCAGGAAATAGTAAAGGACAGAACAACAGCAGAGGGGTACCTGGAGACTGACAGACACAGGAAAGCAGCAGGCACAGTGGTGTGGTGTTGCAGTGACTGATACTCCAGCGGCATTCAGCTAACAGCAATCTGAACTCCACCAGCAGCCGGAACTCCACCAGCAGCTAGGTGGGAGGTGAACCCAAACAAAGAACTGTCCGTCCTCCTGCTCCGTTTCATTTGACCAGGAGCAGAGCCAGAGCAGCAGATCTCAGATGGGCAGTGTGAGAACAGGGTGGATTTCATAGCCAAGTCAGCTCCCTAGAGCTGAATTGGGTGCCATATTGCATAAGGAGGAAAGGGGAAGGACTGAACATGCACTGAGCTCAGAGCAAGCTCATTTCTGGCTCAGTGAACTGCAGCAATGTGGCATTCTATGGGTTCCACCCGGGGCAGGTCTAGGTAGCCCTCAGATCTGATGGTCAGCAGATCAAGAACTGTAGTGGTGGTACATCAGGTGCCGTTTTGCACACTGTGGTAATAGCTTTGGGACTGCAGGGGACAACAGTGAACTGGGCATGTGCTGAGCTCGCGAGAACTCACTGATTCTGTGGATTGCACTGATCCCACAGGAAAATAATACTGACTGTGACATCCTACTGATCAAAATAGGTCCGTGTGGCATCCACACCTAACGTCCAATAGGTTCCGACAAGATCAGCACCACCAGCAACCTAATTATATAGGACACCTGGTGTCTCTCTAATTCTGGGACCTGCTCCAACTGAGAGTGGGAGAAAGGTTGCAGAGATAATGGTGCAGCCTCAGCATGGTATCACAGGAGGTGGAGAGTGGTGAGCCAGGAGCTGGGGCTGTGGAGACCACGGTGGAAATCTAACATAAGAACCCAGACCTGGAACTCGCTGGAGGTTGTGGCACCTCCACAAGCAAGCAAAAAGTTATGTACCAACTGCAATAAGTAAAATCAAATTGTAGACCTGTGGGTGACACAGCTTAGAAACCCGCCACAAGGAGAAGTCTTTGCTAACTAGAAGTAAATAACCAAGAGCAAAAGAAGAGACAAAGGCACAATGAATATTATCAAAAACTCCCCTGTAAAGCAGCAAAACCCTATGCCAACCTCAGTGTTAACTGAGGAAGACATCGAGAAAATGGGGGACACAGAATCCATAAGACTCACTTTAAAGATTCTGATAAAAAATGAGAAGCTCATGCAACAGTTCAAAGAATTTAAGGAAGCAGTAAAGCAAATCAAGGCTGATTTATCAGAAGTTAAGAACACAGTAGAGCAAATCAAAAGTGGAGTGGAGAGTCTCCAAAATAAAATGAAGCAAGCAGAAGAAAGAATTTCAGAATTGGAAGATATTTCCTGTCACCAGAGGGAAGCAAACAAAAAGCTGGAAGCAGAGCTGGATCAGGCCAAAAAAAGTATTCAAGAATTGAAAGACACTATTAAGAGGCCAAACATAAGAGTTATGGGAGTCCCAGAAGGTGCAGAAAGAGAAGCTGAGTTTGCAAATGTATTTATGCAATAATCAAGGAAAATTTCCCTAATCTGGAAAAAGAATTGGGAAACAAGATCCAGGAGGGCACAGAACTCCCATCAGGCTTAATCAAAAGCGATCTTCACCGAGACACATGATCATCAAGCTCTCTTCAGTTGAACATGAGGAAAAGATCCTTAAATGTGCACATGAAAAAAACCAATTGACCTATAAAGGAATGCCAGTTAAACTCACAGGAGACCTCTCACAGGAAACTCTATAGGCAAGAAGAGAATGGAGTGACATATTCCAGATTCTAAAAGAAAAAAATTGTCAGCCTAGCATAACATATCTAGCAAAGCTTTCTTTTGTCTTTGAAAATGAAATAAAATTCTTCCACAGTAAGGAAATTTAAAAGAATTTGCCTGTTTCAAACCTGCCCTACAAATGGTACTTCAAGATGTTCTCTTGACAGAGAAGAGAAATAGCACCTACCAAAACCAAAGGCAAATGGTAAGAATATCCCAGTAAGATGACAACAGAAGACTAAACCATTGAACAACCCATTCCTAAAATGACAGGACGAAAGTACCACCCATGTATATTTAATGCTGAATGTTAATGGCTTAAGCTCAACCAAACGTCATAGATTAGTAGACCAGATTAAAAAACAAAGCGCATCTGTTTATTGTCTGGAGGAGACACACTTCAACAAAGATCAGCGGAAACTATATCACATGGGTTTTGTTGTTTTCATCTCTTGAAAACACTTTCTTTCTTCTGATTAAATCATTCAGTGACTCGTAGATAATACAGTGGCATCATTTTCTTCCAGAAGGTTCTTGATTTTCATTTCTTCAGCTACACATTAATCATTTAATAGCATGTTATTTAACTTCTTGGTGTTGTTAATTTCTTTTCTTCCTGATGTTGATTTTGTTTTGTGGCTCTTCATTTAAGGGGATGTATAGTAGCTGTGTAATGGAGACTCTCATATCTAGTAACATGTCATTTAACTTCATGGCATTGTAAATTTCTGTTTTTCTTTCTACTGTTGATTTTGTATTATGACTTTTCATTTAAGGGAATATACAGTAGCTGTGAAATGGAGACTAACATCCAGATGTGAGGATGCAGTGTAGTATGCATTTCTGCTTCCAGAAAAAAATGGGCTTATAATGAAACTGTTTGCTATATCTTGACAATAGAATGCTGGACTCTCTGCCATTGTCCATGCCTGCAATGATGGACATATAACTGAATAGGAAGAACTATATGTTTGTAATGATATAGAGGAAATAGGTGGGGGGGGGGAGGGAAATGGGGATAGGATAAGGGAATATGGAACTGTATCTTAAAGTGATAATAATAATAATA